GTCACAGGTTGGCCCTAACTGTGAGGATGAGTGGAAATCTCTCACCTCCTAGATCTCCTTTAAGTAGTAGTAGTAAAAAAAAAAAAAAGATAATATATGTAGTGCTGAAACAACAGCTACTGGCCCAGGTACTAGTCTGCAAGGGACTAAACTTGCCACCAATAGGGGCTGATTTATAAGTGTTTGCATGGCACTAGCACCACTAGATGGCACAGAGGAGCATCGGAATTTATTTGTAAATCAGCCCCATAGTCTGTGATGATGGAGAATCTGGGGGGCTTTGCAAATCAGGTAGCATTAAAAGCCTAGCCTTACCTACAGAGTCTTGCAGCGTTGTACAGGCTTCTCTCTTGTACAGAAAATGTTACTGTCCCTGGCCCACTCCATTTATTCTTTGGACTTCTTTCAATCAGACTCACATGTAGAAGAGTTTGCATGCAAATGCAGCCTGCCAAGGAACCCTCTCTCCACCAGATTTTACAACCACCCATTAGGGCATTTTGATATTTTAATAACTCCAACCAAAATCCAGCCCACTGCTTGCATCAGAGTGGAGGGCTCTTGTGAGGAGTACTGAGGTAGGGTAATGTTACATTTTGAGGAAGCTATGTACAGCACCTGCTAAGCCCCTCCAACTAGAGATGATCTACCTGCATTGCAAAAGTAAACTCAGACCCCCCCCCTAATCTAAATTTGCCCCCCCCCCCCTTGCATAACCTTTCAGTCACTGGATACAAGCGCACATGCTGTATCCAGCTTTTGACAGGTTGCGCTATTAGCATAGCAGGAAAGCCGGGTCTCGTGTGCTCTGCAGGATTTATGGTGGGCTCTGCAGAGTCTCAGGTACGCTGTGAAGGATCTCTGGTGGGCTCAACCTGAGACCCTGCACACCTCACAATAGACCCCGCAGAGCCCACCTGAAACCATGCAGATTCCACCAAAGATCCAGCACAGCCCATCTGAGACCCCTCATAGCCCACCACAGACCTCGCACATCCCACATGAGACCCCACATAGCCCATCACAAACCCCGCACAGCCCACCGTAGATCCTGCACAGCCCATCCAAAACTTTCTGCAGGTCCCTTTTCCTGCACACATGTGCTGCTTTTCTTACCTGCAGCTCCCCAGCCTGCCTCCAGGACCTCCTGATGTCAGATCGTGGGGCATGGCCAGCCTTGAGCGGCCTACTGCTTCTCCTCCACCTCCGCCGGCTGCACTGCATCTCCCTGAGCCATGATCCTGCCTCCTCCTCCACTGGGCAGCTGTCTCAGGCAAAGTAGGTGGCCGTGAGGCCAGAGCAGCCACCTAATTTGCCTGATTAGGGAGCTAAAGCTGGTTAAGTCTGTCTGGCCCAGCTCGCCTCACTGTTTTGGGGGGCGGCCTCCTTGAAAAGTGCTGCCTAAGGCAAATGCCTTGTTTGCTTTGTGGTGGATACCCTGCTGCAGTGCATTGAGAAGCAAAGATACCCATTGATGATGTCACTGGGTCTAAAATAAGCTATGTATTGAAATTATAAAGATTTTGTTGTA